GGGCCGCCCTCGGCGTCAGCAGCCGCGACAAGGACGGGCGGGACCGGGGCGGGGCCGGGGCGGGGCCGGAGCGGCTGTCCCGGCGGGGTCTGRCTACGGTAGGGTTTGTCCCGAGAACGGTGTGTCCCTCGCGTGTTCCATCCCGGTGGGATCCGCTCCAGCGGTGCGTGTCCCCCAGACCGGGGTCTACGCTCAGACGGGCTCCACTTCGAGGCCATCCTGCCACGGGAGCAGATCAACTGCTCCTCAAGCTCCGGGTCTGCCCCGGCATGGTGCGGCAAGGGGCTCTCTGGGACTCGCGCGGAGCAGAGCCTCCTCCGGCCTGTCCCGCTAGAGCGGCGGGAAAATAGGTTATCCTATCCAGGATAAAATTTTCCCAGAAGCAAGATTCCAGGGCAGGATGGGCTGCAGTAAGTCCCTGGGAGGTCACCCAATCCCTTCTGGCTCTAGGGAGCAGGTACTGGTAGGACCCCTGCCATAGCTCATCCTCAGTGGTGGAGGGGTTGGCCTTCCCTGGGAGGCAAGGAGGTAACGCCGGACCAGCCCCATCCCATATTCCGAGCTGCTCACCTGGGAGAAGTCCAGGTCCGGGTTCCCCGGAGGTGACAGTTTCCTACTTCATYCCTGATTAGGCACCGGGGAGAACTCTGCCTGCTCCTAACTGCCAAACTGTTAGTAAGACAATGATAGAATAATAGAGTTGAGGACTGTTTTGGGTGGGACAGGTAGTTCTTGGGGTAAATATGCACTGGGAAGCAGGGAGGATGCGATAAYAGCCTGTGAATGTAGTGTGAGGGAGGTGATCCCAGCCAGGTGGGGATTGCTAAAGGTGGTGCARAAAGGCAAAATGGGATTTGGTGCATACAAAGGGCACATCTAGGGAGATAATTGATCGGGGTGTGGGAACCCCAAACTCTCACTGATGTTTGATTTGTAGAATAGACCATCCAGCTGCCTGCAGAGGGAGAGCAAGTGTCCACCCTCCCTGTGGGGAGAGGGTCTCTTCATCCCACAGCAGGGAAGTGAGACCTTCTCTCTGCATCCTTTCATCCAAAACGAGCAAGTTGGGTCCCCTGTCAGCCCTGTGTCTTGAGTGAGAACTGCTCCCAGATCAGAAATAATCCTCATCTGCCTTCCCCTCCTCTTGACCCACACAAGGAAGAAGGTGGGTGCATCCCCTGAGTCTCAGGGACGAAGAGGGAGAGGAGGTGCTCAAAATTCCTTCTGGGAACAAGAGTCCTTGCTCACCTGACACCTCCCAAGGGACAGTTCTCCCTCAAGGAAAAGACATCAGAAACACCTTGCTCCTCCATCCCAGCAGCCATAACACATCCTTCGGGGGCTCTGCCTGGGCACTTTGGGCAGCAGGGGCTCAGGGATTCATGCATGGGCCCGGCATAATCACACCGCCCCCCTGCCCTCTTCAAAGATGAAAGGTGCTCTTGCAAACACAGCTCTGATGCTGGGCGAGTGCCTCCTGTCCCCAGGATGGAGCTGGACAGGGTTTATCCAGGAACTGGCCCTGCCCCAGCCCTGCCCTGGCAGCTGGAACACCCAGCAGCGCATGCTTACTTTGGAAGGCAGGCTGGACCCTGATCCTCCGGCTTCAGCTCACCCCACAGCAGATCACGCTCTTGTTTGACTACAACTCCTGGGGCAGAGGAGTCTGTCCCACTGCRTCCTGGGAGGAGGAGAGATGTATTACTAGCATGGGAAAGTTTCCCCTCTTTTACAGTAATTGCTTGTAATAACATCTTGCACATCCCCTTTCATCCTACAGCTGATACCTTTCCCAGATGAGACGCCGAGAAATGCAGCTGCCACCGGAACAGAGCAAGACAATTTGTTTACAAGGCAAGCCTGTGCTCTTGGCGGCCGAGGACAGGAGGAAGGGGAGGCTGCCGTCTCCGGGTCCACGCAGGCGGCTCAGGGGGATGGCCTGCATTGTTCCAGGTCAGGATAACAAGGCCCTTCCGCAGCCCCTTTCCTATGGGAATCCCGACAGGTTGTTGTCCCTCTCCACACGAGGGGAAGTGMGGCACCAGGGGGGTGAAGCGACTCATCCGTCAGACGCCAACACCGAAGGGGAGGAGGAGGGAAGCGGGGCCTGACGGAACATTCCAGCCCCAGCTGGAAGATGCCAGGCCTTAAAGCAAGGCCAGAGCCCACCCTGACACCTTCCCAGTGCCGCTGCACGTGCTCGGTGTTGTCCTTGCTTCACACCAGCATTTTGCTGTGCCTGACCTCTCTGGTGCCCACAGAGCATCCTGCTGTCAGCCTGGCTGCATCCCATCGTGCCCTCAGAGTGTCAAATTTCTGGTACATCTTTTGCTCAGAARTTCATGTGACTGAAGCATGTGTAGTACTCTCCTTCCCTCCCAGCCTCACAAGGATCTATTGCCCCTTAGAGTCTCTCCTCTCTCCTTTTCCAGCCTCAGATCCTGCCTTCATCCCTGTCCCTTTKGCTACTGTGGCAGGGCAGAAGGTCCCTCTGGAGAGCAGGGACTCAGAGGCAGGTCTTGCTCTGTAACACAGGCAAAGGGGACATCGCTGAAAAYGATCCTGGCTGCGAGACCTGAGATGGGGATTTCTTTTCTCTTACAGAAATTGGCTCAGAATCTGTCATTTTGAGGGCTTGGGAAATGTTGGGAAGACAGGACTTGTCGTGTGGGGAGGCTTCTCTTCCTGTCAATAGCAGAGGGAGCCTGGACAGCCAGCACAGTTTAGGCCTTGCCTTSCCCTCAGCAGTGAATCCCACCAAGAGATAAACCCCGCTGGACATTCCTGACCCTGAGTCACCCAGGGCTGTGCCCAGCCATGCACCAAGGGACAAAGATACGGATTGTGCTGCAGGTCTGCAGTCTCCAAGCACCTGTAGGTGGACAGAAAGATTTAAGGTCTGACGTGTCTTGCTATGAAAACTGTGGTCTCTTATTTTTATCCAGGCAAATCTGGCAGCAGAACTGGAGTTTAGAGAGAGGGGTCAATGGGACAAAAGGTTGCTGGTGATTTTTCCACTCTAGGTTATTTGGCTTTGGATACTAGTAAAAATGACACATAAAAGGCCTCTTTTGTGTATCTATGATGGGAGTGGTTGCTGGGGTTGCCAGATCGAGTATCAGTGAATTTTAAGGGCATACAAGGCCACTGATGGGGGGGAGGGGGTAGCAGCACTGCAGCTGTTGGGTCCAGTGGAGTGGGATTAATGCTCAAACTCTAAAATCCCACCACATCAGCCACGTGCATCAGAATGTGGCTGCCCCCTGTCCCAACTTGGTCCCACTCACTCTCACAGGGCAYTCCATGGCATCTGGATCCATGCACGCCTGGTGAAGTCAGGCTTTCCAGGCGACARCTCTGATCATTGTAATTCCAAAGGATTGCAAGGGGTGGGGGAGGAAACATCTCTATTTTCCTTCTATTTTTGTGATCATATGATAGCACTTTGATATGAAATTACTTGTTTTGCTGCATCCCTCAGTATTCCGGGCTGGGCTCCAAGCCACCCGGGGGCAGTGACAGACTGCCAGTGACCTCAAGRGCTGCTGGCCCAGGCCTACTACCAGCCACTTTCTTCCTTGGTTTGTGTCCATTTTGCACACAGCAAAAACAGAGAAGAAAAGCCACCCTCACATGTCCAACCAGATGAAAATCCCTCTGCAAGACCACATTTGAAGACTGTGTAGATTTAAACTCTATGGCGACATTCAGGCTCCTATCCTCTGCAGCTCCTAAAACTTCCACCCACTTGGGCTGTTTGTAGGAACAGCCACTGTGTCCAGGCGATGGGGCTGGATTATAATCGTTGTTCGTGTATGTGGAGCGACTGACGCAGATGTTTGTACAATGGGTGCTTTATAAAATGACAAAATACTTTCAAACTAAGTGGGCAGCATCGACTGCTTGAAGGACGGCTTCCAATGTACGATCAATCCTCCCCTTCAGAGGCCTGGGGCACAAAAACACCAGTTTCTCACACGCGAGGGAACAGCGGAGTCTGAAAATCCAGCTTCTGAACCCAAAGCTGCACCTTCCCCATTATCCACCTCGTGTGCTTCAGTGCCACCACCACAGTGACCACACGCAGCCCTGGCCTGGCTGAGGATGCGAAGGGGGCATCTCAGCTGCAGCCGCGCCCAGGGCTGCCCTCACCACAGCCGCCATCACACCAGCCCGGCTCCAGCGCCAAAGCAGAGCAGGGGCACCGCGGCTGGGGCAGGGCTGCGGGAAGGGGCCGCTCTCAGCAGGCGGATCTGCTCCGAGCACCGCTCCCAGAGCCCCCCGACCGGCCCCTCACACCATACCGACCCCGCCCCGCTCTTCCCGCCGGGCCGCCATTGGCTGCCGGGGTGCGATTGGCGGGCGGGCCGCCACAATGGGCGGGACCAGGCCTTGGCGCCACGTGAGGCCGAGGGCGCGACGCGAGGGCGCGCAGGGCCCGCATCCTKCTCATCGCCCCCAGGTGCCGCACCGCAGGCTCAGGACTCACCCCCGGGACGCTTGGGCGGCGGCCCGCTGCCCCCTCGGCAGGTACGCGGCGGGCCCGGGGCGGGGCGCCTCAGGCCGCGGCGGCCACACGGCGCCCGCTGTGGCGCCCCCTGGCGGACGCCGGCAGGAGCGGGGTCACACGGACACCGGGCGCTGAGGGCCGGGCACGGGGGGATGTGCAGATATCCCGCCACATCCCTGCCCCAAACCGCTGGGGACAGCCCGGAGAAGGCAGGCGAGTCGCCAGAGCCGTGCTGTCTGTYCCTGCAGGGCGCCCATGGGTTCTCCCACAGCCACCCCGCAGCTGCTGTACCGCAGCACCCGCCTGCTGCGCACCGCCTTCCAGCACCTCCACCAGCAGCAGCAGCGAGCCGATGTCTTCTGTGACGCGGTCCTGTGGGCTGAAGGTGAGCGGACAGCAGTGCCAGGGAGGGGCCAGCAGCCCTGGGGAGCTGCGGGCAGGGTGCGGGGCAAGTGGGAAGGGCTGCGGGGCACTGACAGCCACTGTTGCTTTGCAGGTGAGGCAGTGGTGGCCCACTGCAGCGTTCTCTCGGTCTGCAGCCCTTTCTTCATGGAGCAGCTGGGCCCGGAGCTGCCCCCACAGGGTCGCAGGGTGGTGCTGGAGCTGGTGGGGCTGAAGATCGGGGTGCTGCGCAAGCTGGTGCGCTTCTTCTACACCGCCGAGCTGGAGGTCACGCAGGAGGAGGTGCACGAGGTGCTGGCAGCTGCCCGCCGCCTCCGCATCACAGAGCTCGAGTCGCTGCAGCTCTGGGGAGGACGCCTGGTGAGACTGGGACCCCAGCGGCAGCTCGACCGCTCCTGCCTGCAGTCCATCCAGGAGGTCTCCACCGTGGCAGCACCTGACACAGCACAGCCCGGCAGTGCTAGCTCTAGGGTGTCCCCCCAGGGGCAGCCACGCTCTCTGGGGCGCACGCACCCCAGCCCCATCGGGCGGATGAGGCTGCGGAAGGTGGAGAGCCGGGGGTGCTGGGAGGTGGTGCGGGAGGTGCAGCTTCCCACTGTGCCTCCTGCAGTGCCAGCAAGCAATGGAGGRGTGACAGAAGCACAGCCTCCCCTGTATATGGATGCACGGGAGCAAGCCAGTGAGTACTCCCTGCCCCAGCAGCCCCCCATGGCAGACGGGATGCGGCAGGGTGGGGAGTCCCTTGTGTCCCAGCAGGGCTGTGAGCAGGCAGTGCCCTCGGTGCCCCCTGGAATTGACCCCGAGGAGGAGGAGGAGGTGGATGTGGGGACAGGGGAGCCRTTCCTGCCCCCTAGCACAGTCTGCCTCTGGCCTTGTCCCTCGTCCGAGTCRGAAGAGGAGGTGGATGTCCTCACCTAGGGAGGGCCTGGCTCTGCCTCTTCCCCCACCACTGCCTGCACCCYTTAGGCTGTGTGTCCTTGGAATAAAGGGCTGGAGCTGTGCTGTGGAGTACTAAACTTTATTGGAGATTGTGGGGGAACAAGGGGGTGTGGAGGGAGCCAGGGGTCCAGCAGTGGCAGGCAGAGCTGCAGCATCAGGGACGGGACTGGGGATGGCAGGTGCCCCCCACTTGGTCTCGCCTCTTCATGGACGCTCGTGCCGCAGGCGCTGATCCTGGCTTGGCTGTGGGGAGAGGGCAGTTGGTCCCTGTCCTGTCCTGTCCCGTCCCATCCCATCCCATCCCGTCCCATCCCTGCTCACTTGGCCAATGCCTCTATGCCAAGCTGCTCTTCAGGGCTTCCACTACAGTCTCCGGCTGGGGGAACTTCAGCTTGCGAGGGGGACCCTTCTTAATACCGCTCCACAGCTCCACGGCTGTGGAGAGAAGAGGAATTATCGCATCAAAGGTGTCTGGGAACCCCCGCCGCCCCCCCAGCCCAGCACTTACTGCTGCCGTCCTCCTTCACCAGGGACACCTCGAAGCTGTTCCTGCGCGGCGGCTGCGGGTTGATGTCCACGGGKAGGTGGGCCATGGCCTCACGCAAGGCCGCGCTCACCGCCGCCGCGTTGCGCCCGAACACCCGTCAGCTCTTGCTGTGGGGACACGGCGGTCAGCGTCCCGGGGGCACCCAAGGGCCTCCCATCACCYGCCGGCACCTCGGCCGCTCACCAGTGCTCGATCACGATGCGGGGACCGCTGTCTCCAGGGCTGCTCTCGTCCTGGGCCTGGGCCCGCGCCCGCTTCTGCGGGGCTCCCGCTGGCTCCGGTGCCTCGGTCGCCGCCGGCTTCTGAGCCCCGCGCTTCCTCCCGCGGGGAGCCATCCTGSGAGAGCCGAGGCGGTGCGGCCTCTGCCGGAGCAGGAAAAGGGTCTCAGGGATCCCGCTCTGGGGTGGGAAGAGATCTCCGGTACCCCGCTGTCAGGGCAATGAAAGGCGGGTCCCCATGGGGACACTGCTATGGGAGGGAGCCCGGAAAGGCCGATTCCCGGCGATGCGCCGCTGGGGGAAATGAGAGTCCCATGAACTGCGATTCCAAATGGAATCCTGCGGTGGAGGGGGGGAAGCGGGTCCCCAGGGATGCCGCCACCGTGTGCGGCCGGGGAGAGAAGGAGAAGGGAAGCGCGCCCCGGGGAAGGGAGGGGACTGGCGCGGGGCCCGCAGCGGCCGCACCGCCTCCTACCTGCCACCGACCACGTGCCGGGAGCGCGCCGCCGGGAACGGCGAGGCCGGAAGGGGCGGAGCACCGGAAATCCCCGGTGGGCTCCGGTTCCGCCCGCGCCGCCCCGGCCAATCAGAGCGCGGCGAATCCGCAATGACCCCGCTCCGCCGGCAAACCCCGCCCCCCCGAACGGACCGGCACCGGGACACGGACACGGGACACGGGCACGGCACGGACCGTTTATTGTCAGCGATGGATGAGWGCGAGCGTTAACTTAACCGAGGCGGGGCCCTCCTACCGCCCTGCCCGCACGGGGCCGGGGGGCACCGCTGCTTTCCCGGGGCTCAGCCGGGACGAGCCCCCACGGAGAGCAGCTCCGGGCAGGGCCGGGCAGGCCCGCGGGGCCGGTGCCACCAGGGTKATGGTGACATGATGATGGGTGAAGGTACAGGGCAGCTTCTACTTGTCCTTCTTGGACTCTTCCTGAGGTACAGCCGCGGGCACGGCTGGGGGCTCCTCGGGCCCCTCCTCCCGTGGCTTTGATTGCTTCTTGGCCTTCTGGTAGAGCTCATTGAGGTTGAACTCCCGGATCACGTTCTCCTGTAGCCAAGAGGTAGCATCAGCACCACTGGGACCTCGTGCTCCCCCTTCTTCCCAGGTACAGGCTGGGCAGGGGTACAGAGGGCTGCAAGGTCCCACTCACCTCAGAGAAGGTCCAGGACACAGCTCGGCCTTTTTTGTCAATCTGCGGTCGCCGCATGATCTCTGTCCCCCCCTGGAAGAGGATGAGGGTGGGCAGCTGCTTGGTGAGAGGTGAYGTGCTGACCTTGTACCTGTGTCAGGACAAGCCAACAGTGACCCCCCGGCAGCCTGAGGGGGCTGGARRGTCACAGRGACTGCTCCAGAGCAGGCCCTGCTTGCCCAGGCTGTGTCTCCCACACCTGGTGCTGACATCCGTGTACCGGCCAACATCCACCTTCCCAAACTGGAGTCCTGAGCAGTTGTACCTGGGCAGGATAGGGACACATGGCTGTGAGGGACGCAGAGAAGCACAGGCCCGGTGATCCACCAAGATCCCACTCACTTGAGAGAGAGGTCGGCAAAGATGGGGGCGAAGGAYTGGCACTCGCTGGACCAGTTGGCAAAGAACTCAACAATCCACGTCACCCGTTTGTCCCTCTCCAGCTCCTCCTGCCACAGGGGCACAGGCTTAGGGGGGCAGCAGGCAAAGCCCCCCAAAAGCCCCAGGRTTGGGGAAATACTTACATCAATTGTCTTGTCACTGAAATACTTAATGTACTCGGGGCCCATGTAGAGGGGAGGCTTGCATGTCATCAGGAACACTGCAATGACAACACCCTGAGCCCCCCAGCGCCAGGAGGGCCAGGCTGGGCCTGGGACAGGGCTTCTCCACCCCAGAGCAGCCGGGGGGAGCCAGGACAAGGCGAATCTGGGGCAGGGAGATGTCCCCCCCCATCAGGGCTCACCTATACAGAGCGTGAGGTAGAGCAGCCCCATGCGGATGTCGAGGCGGAAGAACAGGATGGCGTTGGCCACTTTGCTGAACATGAAGATATTCCCGATGTGCTGCTCCACAGTGACTGTGGCAGGGAGACAGGCATAAGGGATGGGACCAGGGCCCCCAGAAGGSTGGGGGTAACTCAAGGGAGGGCTGGATCTGGTCCTCAACTCCTTGGAGGCCCATAAGCAGCCTCAGCATCTCAYGTCCCCCTGACTCACTGGAGCGCCGGTTCTTCATCATGACGATGGCGCTGAGGAACATGAGGATCTCCACCTCCCTCTGGCAGAGAGAAGGAACAGCATGAGCTGGAAGTACCCAGGGCACCTTGGAGCCGCACCTGACCTGGCTTGACACCGGGAGTCATGGCCGTGCCAGGCCCTACTGGCCACCTGCCAGAGCCCCCATCCTTCCCGGGGCAGAACAGCCAGAACGGCCCTGCGGCGATGGGCTAGAGCAGTGCCTAGGGGCCCCCTCGGCTATAACGGGACACCGCAAAGCAATGCCAGGCAGGGGCTATCGGGCATCCCCTCCCTCCGCCGTGCCAGGGTGCTGTGTGAGCAGGAGGGAAGTCAGGCAGRGCCGGGAGTGCGGGGACAGGCGCGGGAGGCGGGTCGGGGATGAGAGGACAAGGCCCGGGGACAGGCCGCGCCGCCTCACCCAGTCGAAGTCACAGGGATTTCCATCCTCCCGCTGCGAGGGCAGCCCGCGGCAGAGCGGCGGGACCTTGCGCACGATCAGGAAGGCGGCGGCGAGCAGCGCGGAGAGCGGATAGTAGGGCTGGGCGAGCCATCGGCACAGCCCGGGCAGACCCCACAGCAGAGCGAGCAGGGGAGCCACCACCGCCATCTTCCCTCCGCCCCGCCCACTGCCGCGGGGGCGGGGCCCGCGGCGCCAGCCAATGGCGAGCGGCGSGCCGGGCGCTCCTCTGCGCCCGCGAGCCAATGAGGGCAGAGAAAGAAGCGGCCAATCAGAAGGCTGGGACGAGTCTCCCTTAGCAACGATGGGRGGGGGCGGGATAGGGGCGGTGCTCGGCCAATGGCGGGGCGGGGCGGCCCCGCGCGGGGCACGCCGGGAATATGGAGAACTTCTCGGCGCTGTTCGGCGCGGCCGAGCCGCCGCCCGCCGCCGCCGCCGCGCTCGGGTTCGGACCCGCCAAGGCGCCGGGAGCCGGGGCCGCGCCGCCGCCCGCCGCCTCGGCCNGCCGCCGCGCCGCCACCGGGCGAGGACGCAGCCCGCAAGGCCGCCGCCGGCCCCTTCTACCTGCTGCGGGAGCTGCCAGGTGCGGGCGGGCCGCGGGGCGGGGCGGGCGCCGTGCTCGGCCAATCAGCGCGGAGAATCGCGGCCGCAGGGGTGACTGGCGGCGCGAGGAGCCAATGAGCGCGCAGGGGGCGGGGTCACGCAGGGCCCTGTCCGGGGGGAAGTGGGCGGCGGGGGCGCCCTGGGGCCGGGGATTCCGCTGCTGGGAGACTGCCCGGGGTCCCGGGGCCTGCGGGGGAGCCCGGTGCTGGGGGTACAGGGGGTCCCAACACCTGAGGGGGGCTTGAGAGAAGGCCCGGGGATCGCGGTACTGGGGGGGAAAAGGGTGTCTTGCGGCCTGGGAAGAGGGGCCGGGGGATGCTGGTGCTGGGGTGGGACAGGGGACCCCGGAGCCTGGGGAGAGCTGGGGAGAGGGGCTAGAGGTGCTGTCGGGGCGTTTCCCCCCTCCCCATCTCCTCCCGCGGCCGCACAGGCACCACGGAGCTGACGGGCAGCACCAACCTGATCACACACTATAACCTGGAGCACGCCTACAACAAGTTCTGCGGGAAGAAGGTGAAGGAGAAGCTCAGCAACTTCCTCCCCGACCTGCCCGGCATGATCGACCTGCCTGGCTCCCACGACAGCAGCAGCCTTCGCTCGCTCATCGAGAAGCCGCCCATCTGCGGCAGTTCCTTCACACCTCTCACGGGGGCCATGCTGACCGGCTTCCGCCTGCACGCCGGCCCGGTGAGCCTCGGGGCTGGCAGCCGCGGGGGTGGGAGGGGGCCCAGCGTGGCCTGACCAGCCTCTTCTCTCCACAGCTGCCTGAGCAGTGCCGGCTGATGCACATCCAGCCCCCTAAGAAAAAGAACAAGCACAAGCACAAGCAGAGCCGCACGCAGGACCCCGTCCCCCCAGGTAAGGGCTGCCATAGCTGCTCCCCTCCTCTCCTCCAGCACCGGCAGAGCATCAGCTCACATGGTGCTTTTGCTTCTCCAGAAACCCCCTCGGACTCCGACCACAAGAAGAAAAAGAAGAAAAAGGAGGAGGATCCAGAGCGGAAGAGGAAGAAGAAAGAGAAGAAGAAAAAGAAGGTGGGTGGCGAGGCTTCAGTCTGATTGCCAGCCCATGTCCCACCAAGGAGCTCTGTGAGTGGCCATCCCCAGGGGGCTGCTGCCTGCCCAGCAKCTCTCACAGGCTCTGTCTGTCCTTCCTCCACAGAACCGGCACAGCCCCGAGCACCCAGGGGTGGGCAGCTCCCAGGCCAGCAGCAGCTTACGGTGAGGCCGCGCCAATCTGGGGATCCCCCGGCCCATGGGAACGGCCCCGGCTGACCCCAGGGACACTGGGGCTGGCCTGCCCTCTCCCCCAGCAAAGGGGACACCCTTGCAGCCTCCCAGGACCAGGAGCATGGACTCTGTGGGTGCCATCCTTGAACTTTTGTACCTGAAGAACCCAGAGCATTGGGRTCTCCTTTTTAGTCACCTTTTAATTAAAGTCTGCTCTAAGGAGGGGCTGGTRGCAGTGGCTGCTGTGACCCGCGGCTGTCATGGAGGAGCCCAGACCAGAATGACCCTGCAGCGTGCAGGGCACCCTCCTTTGGATCCCAAATCTCACCAGCACCTGTGACACCTTCCCTGGAGCCGCTTTTCCCATGCCTGGAAAATCCTTACCTGCTSCCCAAACACAGCTCCAAGGTGGTGCCTCCCCAAAACCGGGGCAGGCTCAGCTCTTACCAGACCCCCTTCCCTCTCCCCCTCGGGATCGGGGGCAAGGCCAAGACCCCGAGGATCAGGAGCCCTGGAGGGGCTGCTYCATCCCTGGACGCCAAACAAAGCACACGCACGGCCCCGGGGTGGCTCATTAAATATCCTTTTATTCCTCATTTTTAAAATGGCTGATAATAATAAAAAACCCTGGCGTGGCTGTGCGGGGCCACGGGAGCTATTGCCGTAGAGAAAGAGTCCGGTAGTGCCGGCAGGGCTTTGGGGACTGGGAGCACGGGGCTCCTTGGCTGCGCTTTTTTTGGCATGTGATGAGAAAATATTGCTTTCCGGGGATGCACCTGCCTCTTCCCCGAGTGAGCGGAAATAAAAACACCCCTGCGACAGCAAGAAACCCCCTCGGAATCATTAACAGAAATTTAAAAAGGCAACAAAACCAACAACCCCCSACCACACCCCCCCTCCCCCCGGGAAAAGGGAACAAAGAGCAAAAACTGCGGGTGGGGGAGGCCGGGGCCTTTGTGCCAGCTCGAGTTGGGGTGGGGAGAGGGCTGCCCCCATCGTGCCTCCTCCCCGGGCCCCCCACAAGGGGGCTGGAGGTTGTGGACACCACGGATCAGTGAGGGGAGCGTCCGAGGGAGGACACCTGGCACCCCACAGCCCCCTTCAGAGAGGGAACAGTGACACCCCACAGCTCCTTCCATGGGTGCAGGAGGCGGCCCCACGTCCCTTTATTTGGGGACAGGGACAAGGTGGGGCCCAGGCCCTGAGCAGGGTAATTTCTTCCTCTCTCTGGGTAAGATATATAATTTCTGCTTCTTTTTTTTTTTAATATTTATATTTATATATATAGATATTTATATATACACACACCTGGTAACTCGGAAAGAGAAAAAAAATAGAATCCGTAACAATAATAATAAAAAAAAGTATTCTGTTTAAAAACAATCCGTTCCTACCACGCCAGGCGAGCGGGTGATTGCACAAGGCCCACAAGTGGCTGGCGCAGCCGAGGCGGTGCCGGGGCTGCAGCCCCCCCCAAGCCCTCCCCGAGCCCCCCGCGGGTGTGTGCCGGCCCCCGCGGCCCGGAGGGGCAGAGGGAGGAGCAGGAGGGGCCCTGCCCGGCTCTCCCGGGAGTCCACAAGCATCCGGCCACGTCCCTGGGGCCGCCGGGGAGGAGGGGAGGGGGCGGCGCTCTGCCCCTCATACCGAGATCTCGTAGGTGGTGCCCCCCACGCCCGACACCTTCTTGACGCCTCCGCGGGTGGGGCTGCTGAGGGGCACCGGCCCYGAGCCCGGTGGGGCCGAGCCCAGGCTCTTGGGCTGCCCGTTGGACTTGCTGTAGGCTGTTCTCATCTGCACCTCGTCCCTGCGGGAAGGAAGMACAGACATGGGGTCAGGAGGGGGACAGGTCACCGGCCCCCAGTGCTGCCGCCGCCTTGCCCTCCCCAGGGACCACCGGCACCCACCCATATCCCGAGGGGCCTGTGGGGTGACTGAAGAGGTGTGGGAGGCACCAGCCCTGCTCTGATACGAGCAGGAAGATTTCTCTTGCTCTTCCCAGCATCTCTCCCCAGGAAGGGCCGTTCTGCTGTCCCGAGGGCTTGGAGGGGCACAGGCTGAGGGTCACTCCCAACAAGCCACGGGCGCCCCTGTGCCATCCCAGTACTCACTTCGGTGCCAGCAAGGGCTGCAAGGCCACCTCCTCGGTCTCGGGGCCRCCGGCTTGAGAGGCTGTTTTTTGGCTGCTGTAAGACACGGATTTGCCCAGGTGGGGGGCAGCGGGCTGATCGGGGGAGCCCAGCGAGCGCACCCGCAGCGCCGCGGGGGGCTCGGGCTTGCCAAAGCGGGGCAGGGCCGGGCGGGTGAGCGGGTTCTTGCCCAGGGGCGAGCGCTTCGAATCGTCCGAGGAGGTGCTGGTGCGGGGGGCGTTGCTGGAGCCCGGCGTTGAGTGGATGCCCGAGTCTGCCAGCCCCGCGTCCTCCTCCCGGCCCGTGGCCGGCGGCTGCTGCAGCAGCTTCTCCCGCTCCTGGATGGAGGCCACGATGTGGCGGGAGAGATTGTCATAGCGCACGGGCGAGGGTTCGCGTGGCACCGCCGCGTGCTTGGGGGAGGCGGCGCTGGCGAAGCGGCCGTGCAGGTCGGTCTCTCGCTGCTGGGCGATGCGGGCTGACAGGAAGGGCGAGGTGTAGCCCACTGGCGGCTCGGGCTCGGGGCCCGCCTGCACCGACTCGAAGTCGGGGCTGTCGGAGGGCGTGAGCAGGCTGTCGTACGAGAGGCTGCCGTTGCGCGTCTGGTTCACCAGGCTCTTGTAGGAGGTGGAGGTGGTGCCCTCYGAGCGGATGGACTGCAGGTGGCCTGTCTCAAAGCCCGTGCCCTGGGCCGACTTGAGGCTGGAGGAGCGGGAGCCRCTGGACAGAGGGTCAAAGTGGAAGCTCTTGCCAAAGGTGGGTGAGCGGAAGCTCTCGGGCTCCAGGCTCGGCTCCGAGCGGTAGCTGGGCTTTTGGCCGCTGTCACAGATGGAGTTGGGCTCCTTCAGGCTGTTCACTCGGCTCAGCTGAGGGGCAGAGGGGCAGCGGTCACCCATGGAATGACCACAGGGCCCCTGCGGTGCTCACAGGACGGGTGCCGCGCTTACCTTGGCGCTGGTGGAGTGGGGCAGGGCYGCCGAGCTGCTGCTGCTGCTGTAGCCGGGCCGGTACTTGTACATGGTGGGAGTCGGGGGGCTGTCCTTGCCTAGCAAGCTGCTGTCTGCGCCGGGAGAGAGGGGTGAGCTCAGCGGGGCTGCGGGCGGGGAATGCACCGAGCCCCGCCCTCCCTGCCCGAGAACCGGCTCCGAGCCTGGGGCGGACAGACCAGGGAGGAGGGACGGGCTGGAGGGAAGGCGCACCGGGGCGGGACAGACCGAGCGGGAGGAAAGGGTGTCCCCACAGCCAYGTGTGTGGGGTTGGCACTTCCGGGCAGCCCCGGCTGGGTGGCACATGGTGCGGGGTGCCGGGCGCTCTGTGGGACRCGTACGCGCCGYGGCCCTCGGYGGGCAGCGGGGCCGGGAGAGCTGCGGGGTCTCCAGCTGCTGTGAGAAGCAGCTGCCACAGGCTCTGCCCGTCACATCCCACCTCTGGCCAGACCCATGTGGAGCYGGTCGCAGCCGCCGAGCCGGGCCCGCCACCGCTTCGCCTCCTCCGTCCTGGCAGCGCGGCAGCTGCGAGGCACAGCTCCCGGCAGCTCCGGACAGCGCCATGCTGGCTCGGCTCGGCCTCCAGCAGAGCAGAGCTGGCTGTGAGCGTCTCRCAGGCTTCTCCGAGTGCGAGGAGCCGCGTACACCGGCCCGGGAACGCTGATGTGCTCTGGGTCTGCCCTGCAGYCTGTTAATGCCACCTACGGCCCTGGCTTCTGGCCTGCCTGGCGCAGCCCTGGGCTCCCCTCCCGGCGGCTGCCAGGGCCCTGGTGCCCTCCTTACCCTCAGTGGTGGCCAGGGTTAAGTGTGTCCTCAGGCCCGTGTAGCGGCTGAGGTCGGGCTTAGGTGGGGGTGGCGGCTCGGCRTCAGCAGACTGGCTCTCCGTCACCTCCAGGCTCCCCTTGGACTGCAGAGACAAAGCGCAGGCAGGGTCASGGGGGGCCGGGCCCTCAGCCCCCTTGGGCAGGCAGGGCATGGGCAGCGATGCTGGGGGCTTCCGCCACCTCCCGGGCCATCTGACGGAACAGGTGGGGCGGCATGTGCCCTGGGTGAGTGCTGGAAGTGCCAAGGAGGGGGAACCTCCAGARGGTGATGCACGGGGAAGGACGGGACCAGTAGGGGCAATGGAGAGGGCAAAACCTCATGTGGTCACAGCCACATGGGAGGGGACTGTTTCCATCCCACTGGGACACAGAACAAGACACCACGAAGGGGGATGGGGAATGTGACCAGGCTCAMTCGGTTCTCTACTCACGGATGCAGGCTTGCACCCCTGGGCTCCRTGGAGGGCCCCAGCGCAGGCAGCGCTGGTTCCCACCTTCCTCACCTTCGTCCTTTTCAGCTCTGTCTGGATACCGTTGTCCATGATCTTGACGGTGATCTGACCGTCCGTCACCTCGGGCCGCAGGAAGGGGGGTCTCACCAGCACCGTCTGCTCAGCCTTCGGGYGCCCGAGGTACCTGGGGAGGGGGCGGGAGGAGGAAGGTCAGGGCCCAGAGCCTGGGATGGAGCGCTTTTTCCAGGGATGTGGAGCCCGGGCTCACCTGGGGGCCGGGGAGCTGCAGAGGACCCGGCTGACATTCTTACAGCAACCGTTGGTGAAGGGGTTGACGCCCCCGCGGAACTTGCCTGTCACCTGCRGGACAAAGGAGTGTCACAGTCATGCCAGCACCCTCAGGACAGCCTCCCGGGATGGGGACATGCCAACATTCTGCCCTTTTTCCTAGTCCCTGTTTCAGTGCTCAGCTACCCCAGAGGAGGGGTTGGGTCTCCTCAATTCCACCTCCTGCCCTGCAGAAGTGCCTGCCCAGCTCCTTCTTCTGACTGCATCCTCCACCTCAGCCASCCTGTGCTCCACCTCCCCAGCTCAGGGGCCTCCCCCTGCCTCARTCCAGCACATCCACAGCCATCCCGTCCTGGGAAACCCCAAAATATACCCATAGGTACCCAGGCCAGGTYGGCAGCCCTCCATGCATACCTGTTCGTTGGTCGTGCGGCCCCTGGCCACGAGCACCACGTGGAAGCCCGTCAGGCCGGCGACGGGGATGAAGAAGAGCCCGGCCACGCACATCACCACCATCCTGCCGCAGCCAGCTAAGGAGCACCACAGCCCTGCTCGGCGCCGCGCCGCCCCCAGCCCCACCGCCCCCTGCCCGCTCCCACCAGCCGGGAGGATACGTGACGGCCATGCGGACACCAGAGAGCTCCTCCACCTGGTACAGGACGTAGAGCAGCCCGAAGCCAAAAACGCCCATGATGTGCGTGGTGAGCGACAGCAGGAAGAGGAAGAAGTAGCGGTAGTTGCGCCGTCCGATGCAGTTGTTGACCCAGGGGCAGTGGTGGTCGAACTCCTGCAGGGGATGGGGTGCGGTGAAGGG